CGGAAGGGCGGAGTGGCCAGTCCCTTTGTCCGGCGCCGCCTTTGTCTGGCCCTGCTTGCCGGCGGGTGGATCCAGGTGTCTCTGACCTTGAGGCCTGCAGCCTTGCTGCGGGTACCCACGCTTCTCTGGAAAAAGCCCAGTGCTCCCTCCCGGGTCACAGTGTTGGGGAGGATGAGGTGTGGGGACCAGAGAAAGAGGTGGCCGCGTCGAAGTTGGGGGCTTGGTCTGCTGGGTCTCCTTCAGAGGTCTGGGAAGTTTTAGAGGAAAGGGTCGCGCCCACTGCCTTCTAAGCTGGGCTTTCAGGCCTGGACTCAGGAGGGGCCAGGGAGTGCCCTCCTGAAGGGGTCGTCAGTCCTGACTCTGGCTCCCCAGGCCCCGCAGCCCCGGGCAGGGCCTCTCCCCTGGGAGCCTGTTTCCCTGCTTGTAAAATCCGGGGGCTGCTTGAGACTCCGACCCACTCCAGTCTGGTCAGGACCCCTGGCATCCTCCTAGCTCTGAACTGGGGCCTTCTGCCCCGTTCCCTGGGGAAGGAGCTCTGGCTGATTAAAAATAGGCTGAGGACCGGAAGGCAGGTGTCCAAACCCAGGACCCCGTGTGTGGGGCGTGGCCCTTTAAAGGGCTTGTTTTGTTCCTGTCCCTCAGTAAGATGCTGCCAAGGTCACGTGACCCCCACCACTTTTGCTTATGTCGTGGGTTTCATTTAAAGAGGGGCTGGGGCTGCAAAGTGCTGACACAGCCCCCCCATCCCCAGGATTAGATGACCAGCCCCTGGGGGGCGGGGCTTGTAACTGGAGCTTTGTAATAGATCCTTGGCTCTCCTGTGCGGGCAGGGCCTCTGGCAGAGGGGGTCCCAGGGACTGTTCCCACAGCGACTGGAGCTCCCTTGGCTGGGGTGGAGGAGCCTGGGTCCCTCTTCTCCCTTCCCCTAAGGGGTGGCCACATGGGTGAGTAGAGGCCCCAGAGTCCCCGGTCCTGTGCTGTTCTCCCTGGAACCTGGGGGCTTGTCAGCTCCCAGTTCCCTGTGGCTTGGTGTCTTCTTCCCGGGTATAAGAAAGGGACACTTCGTCTTCCTGTAAAGTGGGGCCTGTGGTTTGGAGAACAGGGGACTGTATCTGCTGTGGGCTCCATGTGTACACAGGTGTCTGCGGAGCCCCAAGTGATGTGGGTCCGCAGTCGTGCATGTGCCGGGGACACGGGACGGGACTGTGGGTGTTGCGTGTGTACGTGAGGGCTGGGCGTGGGCACGCATGAGGGGCTGTAGAAAGTGTGGAAAATGGAGCTAAAGTAAGGACAAGGTTATTTTAGTGCAAAAATTTTCTGAAACACATGCACCGTTTTTTTCATAATACGCATTTTCATGAACCTTTCGAAGACCCGGTGCATGCTTGTCCTCAGTGCGGTCCGTCCGCGTCGCTGAGCTGGGCTGTTGTGTGCGCACAGCGGGCCGTGTGCCATGCGTGCCGTGGTACTCAGATCCACGTACACTTGGGTACAGTCTGGGTGTGTGCATGGGGGCCGTGTGTGGGGTGTGTGCCCCAGAACCGTGGTTGTGTGCTCAGACTGGGTAAACGGGCGTGGCCTGTGTGTGCAGGGCTGTGCGCAGTCTGGGGTCCCTGGTGCCCTGCTTGATTGACCGTGCGCCTCCAGGGCCCCGGTGAATGGGGCCTCACTTCTCTTCCTCCTCTGTCCCACTAGGCCCTGCCAAGGCTGAGAGTGACAAGCGTCTAAGTGCAGGGCCCGGCCAGGGGCCAGGGTCTGCAGTAGATGACCACCAGGACAATGTCTTCTTCCCCAGCGGGCGCCCACCTCACCTGGAAGAGCTCCACACGCAGGCCCAGGAGGGGCTCCGCTCCCTACAGCATCAAGGTACCCTTTCCTCCCCTCCTGTGCTACTCTCTGAGCGCCCAAGCAGGGGCCTAGCCTAACAGGTTCTGGTGGTGTCTTCCAGAAAAACAGAAGCTGAACAAGGGTGGCTGGGACCATGGAGACACCCAGAGCATCCAGGTGAGCCCTGACCCCCGGAACAGGCCTGACCCTACTCTTCCCTCCCTGCTGGACCTCTGAGAACATGTCTGAACCTTCCTGGGTCCTGGTGTCTCGGAGGGCCAGGCCCGGGTTGCTCCGGCCGAGGCCTGCTCTGTGCTCGGTGACGCTGGGGGATCTATGAGTCGGAAGTTGCAGGGGGAGCAGAGGAGGCGGCCCCAGCCAGGCCGGGACCTGACCTCCTTCCCTCTACAGTCCTCCCGGACAGGGCCAGATGAGGACAGCATCTCCTTCTGCAGCCAGACCACGTCCTACACGGCCGAGAGCTCCACGGCAGAGGACGCGCTTTCCATCCGCTCGGAGATGATCCAGCGCAAAGGTGCCTGTCGGGCAGCACCTCGTGGGGGTGGGGCGGTGGGCTCCATGGGTCCAGCCCCCGCAGCTTCCTTTTCTTCCTGACCCGGCGTCCCCCAGGCTCTGTGATGCAGGCAGTGGGGAGACAGTACCTGCGTCCTCTTGGAGAGTCGGCGTGCACATGAACTGGAAAGCAGGACAGTTAAGAGTTGAAAAGCCAGGCCAGCAGGCGATGGGGTGATTAGGATGCTAGACTCCACATGGTCTAATGGCGTTCAAGTCCCAGACCTGGCAGTTTGCTTTCTCACTTTCTCTCTGTCTCTCTGGTGAGCACACATGCCCTATAGCAAGTTAATAATAATAACAATAATAAATAAATCTTAAAAGAAAAAACGTTGGGAACCCTAGTTTGAGGCTGCGGGTTGCTGCTTACCAGGTGTGACCTTGGACAGGTCCTTTACCCTCTGAGCTGCTAGTCCAGGTTTTCATTTCTTTTCTTTTCTTTTTTTTTTTTTTTTGAGAGGCTTTTGCTATAGGGCGCGTGTACTGGCCAGACAGAGAGACAGACAGAAAGTGAGAAATCACCCCCCAGGGGGGATGGCCACGCTGCAATCCCTTCTCCATTCTCCTCTCGGGATCTTGGGCACGCACACACACGCGCCTGGCATGAGTTTAAGCCACCGGTCCGAGAGGCGAACCGCGGTTGATTACGTGGGGGTCTAGCGACATAGCTATTATGCTAACTGCTGGTCCCAACTAATCCAGGTTTTATGAAGGAGGTTATAGCGTACCTGCCTTGGAAGGAGTGCGATGACTGAGCACGCTGACACACGGCAGTAGTGAGCTCACTAACTCATAGTGAGCGCTTGGGAGTGGGAGCCACAGGCGACCTCGGGCCCTCCAGAAGTCTGACAGAGGACCTCTGGTTTTCTCCCACCTCCCCCAGACTGTGGAAACCCTTTTCCCCAGAGCTCTTACTACTGTTCTGCAAAAGCGAAGCGGTGCCTGAGTCCTGTTCTAACGGATTTTCTCCCCTGCACTGGCCCCCAGGCTCCACCTTCCGACCACACGACTCATTTCCCAAGTCATCTGGAAAGTCAGGGCGGCGTCGGCGGGAGCGGAGGAGCACGGTGCTGGGACTGCCACAGCATGTGCAGAAAGAACTCGGTGAGCCCCGCGAGGGTCAGGGAGCCCCGCGAGGGTCAGGGAGCCCCGCGAGGGTCAGGGAGCGTGGTGGGAGGGGCCCGCCAGCCTCTCTGCTGACCCCACCTCCTCCCTGTCCATCCAGGTCTGCGCAGTGAGCGGGAGGCGCCGAGAACGCCTCGGCCTCCAGGTGCACAGGATGCTGTGCGCATCCCCACAG